CTGCTGGAGCTCCAAGATCGCCGCGTCGGACTCGGCGAGCTGCTGCGTGGCCTCATCCACCTCCTTGTTGGCCTGCACGACCTTGTCCTTGGCTGCCTGCAGGGCCTCCTCCTGCTTGGCGCGCTTCTGCTCGAGCTTGCCCAGCTTGAAGGACAGGGTGCGCAGCTGCGCTGGGACGGGCTTCGCAGCGGCCAGCTCCGCGCTGAGCTTCTTGCGAGTGTCCTCCAGCTCGACCCGAGCCGTCTCGAACAGGACCTCGCTGGAGCCGGCGATGGCCCGCAGCGCAGCGTCGACCTCCTCAAGGCGCGCCCTCTTCTGGTCCAAGGAGTCACCCTGGCCCTCACAGTGCTCTGCGCCCTCGTCGACCTCCATGGGCGGCGCGTGCTGCTTGCTGGTGGTCTCAGCCAGCTTGGCCTTGGTGCTGGCCAACTCCTTTGCCAGGGCCTCCAGCTTGTCGTTAACCCACGGCGGCACCGCAGCGGAGCCGCTGCCTGAGTTCGCAGCTGGCGGCTTGGCACGCTTGGTGGACGGTCCAGGCGGCGGGCGAACACACATGAATGCCACGGCCTTGGCCGACCCGCACTTGGTGCACGACACCGTGTCGGACCGATTCCACCACTGGTTCTGCGAGATCGGGTGGATGCAGTACTTGCAGCACCAGTCCTTAGCCTGCTCGCGGCGCCGCTGCGCATGGCGACTGAGCTTCGGGGGCCCATCGCCTGCCATGCCACTGCAGTCCACTCCTCAGGCGTGCTTCGGAAAGAAGCCTGCGACGCCTGGGCAGGCTGACGCAGGCGTGCGTGAATGTGCCCCCCTGTGGGGCGGGAAGTAGGGAGCCTCGAGCCGCTCCCTTGGCTGCACACAAGCTCCCAGCGCGGGAGCGACGTTGGGAACTTGAGCCAAAATGGCTACGGGCGCAGGAGGGGGAGGAGGAGGAAGAGGAGGAGGAGGAGGAGGAAGATGCTCCCCACCCGATCAATTTTCCTGTCCAGGGCTGAAGCGCTTCTTGATGACAGCGCAGGCTGAGGCCGCCCGCCGGCTCCATCTTCTGAGACACTAACGCCGGCGAGTCTCCACCAACTGATGTACACGCAGGCTAGAAAAAGGAAAGGGCGGTGGAGGGGACAGAGGACGGAAGCTTGAGCAAGAGCGATGGCAACGGCATCGCGTCGGCCAGACGAGCGAGCAGGAACAATCACGTTTAGAAAACAAGGCATGCTCCCCACCCGATCAATTTTCCTGTCCAGGGCTGAAGCGTTTCTTGATGACGGTTCAGGCTGAGGCCGCCCGCCGGCTCCATCTTCTGAGACACTAACGCCGGCGAGTCTCCACCATTTCCCAGACTGGATGCCTGGCAGCCGGAAGTGGCCTGTAGAATTCAATCAAAAAACACTTGCAGACGATTGTGAAGCGAAAACTTAACTGATCAGCTGCACGCATCGGGCATGCTCGATGCTGGCGGCACTGGATAGCAGCCAGCGGGCAAGGGCACGAGAGACCGACTTGGGGTAGGGCTCAGCAAGCTGCGTCCACTTTATCCCGCCAGGTGCATTGCCCTGCAGGGTGATGTGCCTCAGGCCAGTCTTCGAGCAAAGCCCGTGGCGGCCGCAGCACCGCTTCTCGAGCGTCCAGGGAGCTGGAGAACAGTTCCAGACACAGAACTTGGTGGACTTCCTCCATCGGGTTCCGTGCTGGCAATAGTCAGTGATTGCCTGTGCACATTTTGGCATGGACATGAGGTGCGTCTGTACGGGTTCTTTCCACATGAAAGAGGTGAGAGGGTTCTCCATGCAGACGGGCACGTGATACTTGAGGCAATGCATGATGATCTGCTGTGTGTGCTTAAGAGTGATGCTACCTACATGCCCGCGCTGCAGTGCTTGCTCGTTCAATCCGGCTTTGCCGTAGATTGAACACTGATCACGATAAAAACCATGCGAGGCATTGGACCAGGTGGAGCATGGAGGCGCCAAAAAGATCCCTCGAACCACTCGGCTGGCGATCCAGCCCTTGATGACCCTGATGAAGGTTGGGTTGGTCAAGTCGGAAGCTTCGTTATCGACGGGATCCAGAACAAAAACGACGCCCCAGTCTCCCTGGCTCTCGGGCTCGCGAGACACACTCTTTGTCCCAGAGAAAAGATCGAGAAATACTTGTCCAGAGCGACGCCCTCGACGGAAGGCTTCGCGGAGGGCACGCTGGCACTCGCGAAGAACGGCGGCGTGGCCCAGACGACGGACTGCTTGACTGGCGTCGCCCGATCGCCGCGCCGCCCCTGTGGTCAAGGGGCCGCTGCCTGAAGAATTGCGGGCAATGCCGGATGGCACTTCCCCGCGATCACTTCCGCCAGCCTGTCGGCCACCTGCTGCCCGTGCACGAGGGCGGGCGTGGGGGCCGCGGCCAGCTCCGCCAGGTACCTGGCGAGCTTTGCGTGCCTTTTGCTGGGCCGGTCGGCGGCGTGCCGCAGGCGGTGCTGGATGTCTGTCAGCCCGCGGAGGCCCTCCGTCATGTCGCAGCTCGCCGCCCCGTGCCGCACCTGGTAGGGGTGAGCGCTGTCGTGGCCCAGGGCCCGGAAGAGCGCGCGGAACTGCCTGTTGAACTCGTGCGACGACAGGGTCCATGCGCGCCCCTCGGGCCCGGCCTTGTCCTTGAGCTGCTGCAAGCGCCGGCCGATCACGGCCGACATCGAGGGGGGCAGGGCGACGCTCTTGTCGAACTGCCCTGTCTTGCTCCGCAGGGGCTGCTCCTCCGGGTAGAGGGGGAGAGCCCAGGCCCCCGCAGCTGGGAGAGCCCGCCCCCCCCCCACCCGAACTGGCGGCGCGAGGGAGGCCCTCGCGAGCTGCAGCAGGTCGCTGGGGAGGCGCAAGTAGGCGCCCCAGCTCAAGCACAACGCGGCGCCCATGTCGTGCCGGCCCCACCTCTCCGCCAGGCCGATCGCAGCGAAAACCAATGGTTTCGCCAGCGGGGCCCTGGTCTGCCCGCGCCCTCGGCGTCGGCACCCCTTCACGGCGGCCAGCGCGGCCTCCATCTTGCTATGGTCGCCGAGGCCGGCCTTCGGAAGGAAATGCTTGACGGCGGCGTAGAGCTTGTCGGCGCGATCGTGGTTGTACCCCACAAAGAACAGCGCATCTAGGTAGAGGGGCATCATGGTGTTCACCTGCTCTGCTGTGGTTGGGATGACTCCTCTCCCCTGGCACCACTGGCGGAACTCGCCCCACTCGCGCTGGAAGTTCCGCCTTGCATGCATGATGACAAACCTTCTCGAACTGCAGCACCGTGAGGCCCAGCTGGCCCGCCGCGCCCTTCTTGGAACCGTGAACCTTCTTGCGGTGGGCTGCCCGTGCCTCCAGCTTCGCCGTCGCCGACATCCACGAGGTCACTGGCGTCGCTGCTGCTGCTCGACCGAGATGAGGAGGAACTATCACTCGAACTTCGGGCCGTCGTCGACCCTGGCGCGCCACCGATGCAGCGAGGCCCCCAATACATGGCATGGGCCTCGCCGCCAGGAGCGGGAACGTCGACGAGGTAGTCGGCGCTGTTGGCCCGCGCCCGCAAGAGGACCTGGTCAACCTCGGACCGCAGGGCCTCGGCGGGGTCCCATCGCCGGCGGCGCGGAGAGTAGTGGGCGCGGTGCGGATCGCCTCGAGGGTCTCTGACTTGAGCCAGAGCGATACGAGAGGGAGCGTCACCAGGCTGCCACTCCGACGGAATCCATCGTCCAATGAAGGAGGACCCCGTAAAGATAGACAAGGCAGCAAGGTGTCGAAGCTGACGATTGACACCGACTGATGAGGATCCCCCTTTTCCCATGGCGAGAACAGGGCCCAAGTTGTCAATCAGCAAGAGGTGGCGCCAGTTGAAGCGCCCGACAGCCCGTGGACGGTGCCGAGCCCCCATCAGCGCTGCACGCGCCTCCAGGGTCATGATGTCCTCAGCTCGTCTGAAACGGCCACTGAACAACACCTTCCACGCGCGCTCGTCCCCGATCATGTCGAGAGGGATAGCCGCGAAGTCGGTCGTGCCACGACGAGCTCGGGAAGCTGCAGCACCACGTCCTCCGACCTCTTCCCAAGGAACCTCCGTGCGCCCGACCGTCGCCGCGCTGCTCAGGTTTTCCGACGCTACCCCTACGGCCCGACTGAGCGGGAGCTCGTAGATAGAGTGGGATCGCGGCATGCCGTCTCTTTGCGCGGCCTCGGTCGGCGAGGGACCAGGATGAAGGATGTCGTCGGGCAAGTCGGCGCCTGCGAGCTCCTCGAAAGTGCACTCTCAGCGACGCGGGGCAGCCGCGGGCCCTCCAAGCCCAGAGCGGCCGCGCGCGCCGCGATGGCGGAGCTCACGCTGTACCTCCGCCGTTCCCCCCGGGAGATCGCGAGCTCGACGGCAGTCGGATCCCTCTCCAGCTCAGTAACTCCAAGACCACCGTGATCCACGAGGCCGGCCCCGGAGACGTCCGCGGCGATGACCACGGGGTCGTCGAACCTCCGGCAGTCGGCGAAGGCCGCCTGGCGCAGCTCGGTCTCGAGCTCAGCCCACAAGCGCCTCCTCGATGGGCCCGCCTTCTTCATGAAGACGTATGTCTGGCGCAGGATGCAGAGCGTGCAACGACGAAGCAAGGCGCGCCAAGTATAATGTCCCACCAGGCGCGACAGCTCGTCGCCGGTAGCCGTCTTTCAAATTCGAGATGCAGTCATACGTATCTGAGCAGTCCTTCTGCAACAAATCATTCATGTAAAAACCTGTTCGTCGGAAGGCTCACTCACACCCTTGCAGAAGGCCAACGCTACTCATCCGCTCAAAAATCTGCGGGGCCCTGGCTGAGCACAGCAACGTTATCCACGTAGACGCCGATGCCGAGCGACTGGGAGGCAAGGTTCGGCGCCCGGCGGCGGTCGCGGATCAGCAGGTCCTCGGGGTACCCGGCGTCAAGTACGCATTGCTCCAGGAGCCGCTGGCAAAAATGAAGTTACCAAACCCGCCCCATTGGGAGAACTGTCAGCAACGGAGATATTAGCGCCCCCATCGGGCACGACAACGTCTGGCCCCAAGGCGGCGACGAGCTCGCTCCTGCGGACGGCCGGGAGGGCAAAGTGGTCGCACATGCCGTCCGGCAAGCTAATCCGGTAGAACGCGTTGTCCACGTCCGCCTGGGCCATGTTCAGCTCGGCGGTGGAGCCCACCTTCATAGAGCTCCAAGCTGAGGCTGTAGCAAGTTGAGTGCACGCCGGCTCAACAAACCTCGAGTTCACCCGTCGGGTGTCCAAGATCATCCGGAGCCGCGCCTTGTCGGACTTCCAGACAAAAAATACTCCCACGGTGTGTGGGCGTCTCTTGCCAAGGCAAACCAGACCGCGAGAAATCAAGTCGGCAATGAAATTGGCGTAGCCGACGCGATCACGGATCAAGGCCTGGTCACTGAAGGGCCTGATGTCTCCATCGGCGGGGTCTTGACGCAGGGCGCGCTGCTGCCAATGTACCCATTGATCCAGCACGTCACCTCGAAGGACCTGATCTGGCTGGCAGCGTGGCCCAGGTGACGGAAGAGAAACTCTATCTCGTTGATGCGCAGCACGTAGCACTGGCTCGGTAGCATAGCCAGGCACACTTCCGCAAAGCTCACGATAGGCTTCCGCGGCGCTGCATGGGGGAGACCCCGCGCTGCTGGCGACTTCTCGTAGATGACGTAGCCCCTCTGACTGCGCCTTCGACGCGCCGAGCTCGGGCTCTGGAGCCGGCGCGCCTGCCAAAAGGTTGAGGCTCTCGGGCGCCTCGTGCATCCAATTGTCGATGAAGCCTTGCCGGCGGACACGAGAACGCGCCGCGCGGCAGGGGGCCAGGCCCGAAGGCTCGGCCGGCGAGCCTCGGGAACCGCCCACAGGGAACAGCTCCCGAGGCAGGGGCACCTCGAAGCTAGCTGCCGCCCCCGGCCCCCTCTGAGCCGGAACCTCTGCCGCCGCCTCGGCCGCCCCCCTTGCCGCCAGCTGATGCCGCCAAGCGCTTCAGCTCCGCCGCCTGCTGCTGCGCCTTCTTCTGCAGCTCGGACTTGCTGGAACCGCCGCCCCCCGCGCCGCCCCCGCCGCCGCCGCCTCGGGCCAAAGCCCGCTCCTCTCGGACTTTCCTCTTCTCCTTGAGGATGGCCGCCTCGCGGTGGAGCTCGCCGTTGATGCGCTCCTGCAGCTCGGGGGGGGCCATCAGCAATCCTCTGGTCCCCCCCGTGCCCATGTTAAAAAACTGGTCGTCGAAGAGCGCGTCCTTTGAGCGGCCGATCGCCCCGTCGCGGTGACGCCACTCCGCCATCTGAGCCCGCCTGGCCAACAACTTGCATACAGCGTGCTCCGAGATGTTGGCCTGATCGAACACCGCACCCACGTCGAACGTACGCATCGCAAGATCATGATATTGCACTCCCTCGCCCCAAGGCCCAAGACCCGCCTCGCGCGCCCACTTTGCGTGTCTCGCGCGGGGGGGGTGATCCTGATGCGCCGGGAACTCCGCGCGCCACTTCACCGTCCTCGGCCCAATGATGGGCAACCCTGCCCAGGCGGACTCCGTCAACTGGAGGGCGCCCCGCGAGAAACAGAGGTGCCGCGCGCCCTTGCTGTCGAGCATGGGCAGCAGCAGGCGGGCGCCCAGCTCGAAATCCGAGCCTGGGGCGGCCGGGTCGACGGCGACCGCGATGAGCAGCCCGCCGCCGCGCCGCGCCAGCACGTAGTCGCCCGTCCTCGCGTAGGCGTCGACCTCGGTGGAGGTCAGCTGCCGCTTGTCGGCGCCCCCGTCCGCGGAGGCAAGGCCGAGCCACTCCAGGGGCGAGACGCCCGGCAGCTCCTGTCCCCCAGCGTCGAAGTCAGTCGCTGGAGCTGCTGTCGTCGGGACGATGGCTCCAGGGGTTGCCTGCTTGCCTTTCAGGCGCCGCCGGCCCCCCGCGTCGGTCGCGGTGTCCTCGGGCTGGACGAACTCCAGCGCCTCCATCACCTCGAGGGGAGTGGGCACCCAGTCGGCGCCGCATGCCGCACTCCGAGCTGACCACTTCTTCCCCTCGTTCGAGTCGGGGATGATGGAATCGTCGTTCTTGAACGCCGCGAGGCCCGTGATCCCGCCATCCCTCACCTCCAGCACGTGCGGATAGATGTCGAGGTCTGGGGCGAGGGCGTACCAGATCCGCCCCGCTGCTTCCAGTGCTGGAGTCGCCACGACCCCGCCTTCGGACTCGGCCTCGGCGGCGGTGCACCTCATGATCAGGATGCGGTGCTCCCACGAGCCCCGAATACGCCACTGCACCGCGATGCGGCGCCCCGGACGAAACGCACCAGCCATAGCAGCACACCGCCAGACCGAGCCCCGCGAGGATGCCCAGCAGGAAGCCCAGGAGGAGCCCCAGCCACACGTACTCCATGATTTGGCTCTGGAAGAAACAATTCTTGGCCGCGTCCAGCGCCGGCAGTATCTGAGCTCGCACGGAGCTGAAAGCGAAGAGTGGTGAAAGGTTGCTGATCACTGTCAGCGCTGATTGGGGAAGCATACAGGTCTCTGGAGGTGGCCGCCTTTGAAAGCTTGAGCAAGAGCGATGGCAACGGCATCGCGTCGGCCAGACGAGCGAGCAGGAGCAATCACGTTTAGAAAACAAGGCAAGAGAGGAGGACTGTTGGCCCCCAGTAGGGCACCTCGGCGTGTGGGCGGCACGTCCGGGGTCCGTGGGGTTAACTGAACACCGCCAAGACGTCGCCTGCGCAGGGGCGGCGCGGTGGGCCAAGGGTTTCGCGGCGGCGGTCCCGCCGTGCTCTAGCGGCGGTCCCGCTGTGGTACGGGTCTGCCGTCTCAGGTCCGTCGGGACCTGGCGTTCTCGGGCCGCGAGGGTGCCCCCCTTGGGCCGGCGTGGATCTCGGTCCGCGTCGGCCTGCGTGGTACCTGCCTTTGTGGGGGCAGGCCCCAGCCACTGTTTTGGCCCTCCCGTGGCGTCGCCTTTCCTTTTTCCTCTTCTCTTCGTCCTCTTTCTCCTCCTCTCGCGCCTCGCCAGGAGGGTACGGCCCCCAGCTCCAGGGGGTCGGCGGCGGTGGGCGCGTGCACTCATCGTCCGCAACTTCGCGCGCAGGAGGAGGACTGCTGCCTCCCGCCCGTGCGCGCCTGCGGCTTGCCTCTGAAGAGGAGGAGGAGGAGGAGGAAGAAGCGGGCAAGTTTGGCACGCCCTGAGCGTGTTGTCTGAATTGCTGGGGTGGATCAAAATTGACACCCTCGCGCAGATCGGCGGGGTAAGGGTCAAACGTGATCGACCCACGAACATGGAAAGAAACATAGAGCTGTAGCGCATGGCAACGTTTTCAAAGACACCTGATTGGGTGACGGGCAAATGCAATGCTGAGTGTATCGATCTTGATGTACCCTGCCGAGGGCTGTGCTGTGCTGCGCCGTGTTGAACTGCGATGTACCATTCCGCGATTGTGCTCTATAGCCTCGTGGATCGAATCCTCCTTTGCATCCGAGTCCTGACCGAACTGATCTGAATCTTAAGCTCGAGCTGCCTCAGCGCATAGTAGCTGCCCCAGGAGCTAATTTCAAGGGGAACATGCCAGGAGGACGCGACGCGGAACGTCTCAAGGGACGCGTCAAGCGACGGGTCAGGGGACTTGCCATGGGGACGCACCGCGGGACGTGCCAAGGGGACGCGCTACGGAACGTGTTGGGGACAAGCGTTTCGCTCGAGACATCCTGTCGAAATCCTCCGAATTCGTGCGCGCGGGACGCGGCACGCGCGAGACATCCTCGGAATTTCTAGGAGCGGGACGTGAAAACAAACATTTCGCCTGAGACATACTCTGAATTCTGGCCCCCCACGAGGCCCCCGCTCGAGACATCCCCAAAGTTTGCAATACCAGCGTTTCACCCGAGAGATCCTAAACTTTTTTTTTTATTAATATTATCTATGTATCTCATATTTATTATATATTTTTCTGTAAAACAAAAAAATCGAGACACCCTGCCAAAATCCAAAGAAATCCTGGCAAAACAAGCGAATTAGTCGAGACAAGCATCCTCGAAATTCCTGCGCGCGGGACGCGGCACGCGCGAGACATCCTCTGAATTCCTGCGAGCGGGACGTGAAAACAAGCATTTCGCCCGAGGCATCCTCTGAACTCTGGCCCCCCACGAGGCCCCCGCTCGAGACCCCCCCCCAATTTTGCAAAACCAGCGTTTCTCCGAGACATCTTCAACACATTATGAACAACAAAAACAAACATTTCGCTCGAGCCATCCTGCCAAAATTCAACGACATCCTAGAAAGAACAAGCGAATTAGTCGAGACATCTTCGACATTCCTGCGCGCCGAAATTCCTGCGCGCGGGACGCGGCACGCGCGAGACATCCTCGTAATTCCTGCGCGCGGGGCGCTTTTCTGCGTCGCGGTCGGGGCTCCAGACCTTGTTTTCTTTCGAAGATCAATATAAAAGTGACCCGCACCCTTTTTTACAAAGGAAAACGGTGGTCCGCGGACCCCGTTATTTATCAAGGATCGAGCGGGCACGCGCGAAACGCAGTTTTTTCACGCCGAATTGGACTTTACCTTGTTTTTTATCGAGCGGAATTCCGCCAGCCCACCTCCCGCATGGCACCCGGGACAAACTACCATCCTTAAACATGATCGACCCACGAACCCGGAAAGGAAAATAGAAATGTAACGCATGGCAACGTTTTCAAAGACACCTGATTGGGTGACGGACAAGTCCAATGCTGATTGTATCGATCTTGATGTACCGTGCCGAGGACTGTGCTGTGCTGCACCGTGCTGAATTGCGATGTACCATTCCGCGATTGTGCTCTATAGCCTCGTGGATCGAGTCCTCCTTTGCATCCGAGTCCTGACCGAACTGATCTGGATCTTAAGCTCGAGCTGCCTGAACACATAGTAGCTGCCCCAGGAGCTAATTTAAAAAGGGAACATGCCAGGACGACGCACCGCGGAACGTCTCAAGGGACGCGCCAAGCGACGTGTCAGGGGACGTGCCATGGGGACGCACCGCGGGACGTGCCAAGGGGACGCGCTACGGAACGTATTGGGGACACGCGTTTCGCTCGAGACATCCTGTCGAAATCCTCCGAAATCGTGCGCGCGGGACGCGGCACGCGCGAGACATCCTCGGAATTTCTGGGGGCGGGGCGTGAAAACAAACATTTCGCCTGAGACATACTCTGAATTCTGGCCCCCCACGAGGCCCCCGCTCGAGACATCCCCAAATTTTGCAAAACCAGCGTTTCGCTCGAGAGATCCTCAACAATTCATTTGAAAAATGTTTGAACAAAAAAAAACATGATCGACCCACGAACCCGGGAAGGAATATAGAGCTGTAACGCATGGCAACGTTTTCAAAGACACCTGATTGGGTGACTGGCAAATGCAATGCTGAGTGTATCGATATTGATGTACCCTGCCGAGGGCTGTGCTGTGCTGCACCGTGCTCAATTGCGATGTGCCATGCCGCGATTGTGCTCTATAGCCTCGTGGATCGAGTCCTCATTTGCATCCGAGTCCTGACCGAACTGATCTGGATCTTAAGCTCGAGCTGCCTGAACACATAGTAGCTGCCCCACAGCTAATTGACAGGGGGACATGCCAGGAGGACGCGACGCGGAACGTCTCAAGGGACGCGCCAAGCGACGTGCCAAGGGACGTGCAATGGGGACGCACCGCGGGACGTGCCAAGGGGACGCGCTACGGAACGTGCTGGGGACAAGCGTTTCGCTCGAAACATCCTGTCGAAATCATCCGAATTCCTGCGCGCGGGACGCGGCACGCGCGAGACATCCTCGGATTTCCTGCGAGCGGGACGTGAAAACAAGCATTTCGCCTGAGACATCCTCTGAATTCTAGCCCCCAACGAGGCCCCCGCTCGAGACATCCCTCAATTTTGCAAAAACCTGAGTTTCGCTCGAGACATCGTCAACAAATTATTTTAAAAAAACAAGCATTTCGCTTGAGACATCCTGCCAAAATCCAGGAAATCCTGGCAAAACAAACGAATTAGTCAAGACATCCTCAAACTTCCTGCGCGCGGGGCGCGGCACGCGCGAGACATCCTCGGAATTCCTGCGAGCGGGACGTGAAAACAAGCCTTTCGCCTGAGACATCCTCTGAATTCTGGCCAGGCCCCCGCTCGAGACATCCCCCAATTTTGCAAAACCAGCGTTTCGCTCGAGACATCCTCAGCAAATTATGAAAAACAAGCGTTTCGCTTAAGACATCCTTTCAAAATTGAAAGAAATCCTGGCAAAACAAGCGAATTAGTCTAGACATTCTCTAAATTCCTACGCGCGGGACGCGGTCCGCGCGAGACATCCTTGGAATTCCTGCGAGCGGGACACGAAAACAAGCATTTCGCCTGAGACATCCTCTGAATTCTGGCCCTCCACGAAGCCCCCGCTGGAGACATCCCTAAATTTTGCAAAACCAGCGTTTCCCTCGAGACATCCTCAACAAACTATGTAAAACAAGCGTTTCGCTCGAGACGTCCTGCCAAAATTCTTAGAAATCCTGCAAAACCAAATGAATTAGGCGAGACATCCTCGAAATTCCTACGCGCGGAACGCGGCACGACATCCTCGGAATTCCTGCGCGCGGGGCGCTTTTCCGCGTCGCGGTCGGGGCCTCAGACCTCGTTATTTGTCGAGGACTCTGCGAAAAACGCTCCGCACCCTCTTCTTTACGAAGGAAAACGGAGTCTGCGGACCTCGTTTTTTTATTGAGGATCCGGGATGGGGGGCGCACTTTCCTCGAGCGGGCACGCACGAAACGCATTTTTTCAAACAGAATCAGCACTTTACCTCGTTATTTACGCAGAACAATTTCGCCGGCCCTCAACAAGTCAAAACCGAGGGTAAACCAACGAAAAGAGAACCCTGGGCTTCAGCCCTTTCCGGGAAACATGATGGACCCACGAACCCGGAAAGGGATATAGACATGTGGAGCATGGACACGTTTTCATGATACCCAACTGGGCAACACCTCACGAAACATCCCACGAGACACCTCACGAAACAACCCACGAGACACCTCACGAAACATTCCACGAGACACCTCACGAAACATTTCACGAGACACCCCGCGAAACATTCCACGAGACACCCCACGAAACATTCCACGACGACAGGCAACCACTCAACCAAGGCGGTGTGGTCGTGCTGGGGAGTGGTCGTGCTGGGGTGTGGTCGTGCTGGGGGGTGGTCGTGCTGGGGGGTGGTCGTGCTGGGGGGGTGGTCGTGCTGGGGGGTGGTCGTGCTGGGGCGTGGTCGTGCTGGGGCGTGGTCGTGCTGGGGCGTGGTCGTGCTGGGGCGTGGTCGTGCTGGGGCGTGGTCGTGCTGGGGTGTGGTCGTGCTGTGGTAAGGTCGTGCTGGGGTGCGGTCGTGCTGGGGTGTGGTCTTGCTGGGGTGGGGTCGTGCTGGGGTCGGGTGGGTCGTGCTGGGGTGGGGTCGTGCTGGGGTGTGGTCGGTGCTGGGGTGTGGTCGTGCTGGGGTATGGGTGGGGTGGGGTCG